AATGACAGCAACTCCCTGGCAAGGGGATTTGGGTGATCCATTAGTTTCGACAGGTAGGTTAAACAAGAGAGTTTGATCTCCTCGCGTATTATGGGGACATTGAGATCCCTATGAATATTACTATTGCGAATGTACCACGGGGCACCTGTTATTGACCTTAACAGTGCTGACTGCTTTCTTTGTAATTTTTCAACATTTGATGAGGAGGCTGTTCCCCACAGTTGAATGCCGTATAGCCATATCGGTTTTATAACTGTTTTGTACAAAAGCACTTTGTACTCCAAGTCTAGAGCAGACCGTGGTCCAATTAGCCAGTACAATTGAGCTGACTTTAATTTTATTTGTGTAACCTTGGCTTCAATGTGGTGAGTCCATGTTAAGCGGCGATCAAGGTGGATACCAAGATATCTCACATGGCTTTGTTCAGGAATTTTTATATTGTTTATCTGCACGGGAGGACAATTTTCCCTTCTTAAAGTAAATGTAACGTGAGTACATTTTGTAGCATTGACTTTTATTTTCCATTTGTCCAGCCATTTTTCCAATTCGCCGATGTGAAACTGGAGTTGTTCAGAAGCTATTGAAGGGTTTGCATGCATGCTTACAAAAGCGGTATCATCCGCAAATGTAGATGTGTGAGTCAGTGCGCTCGTTGGCATATCTGCAGTATATAAAATATATAGGAGCGGACCTAGAATACTCCCCTGGGGTACTCCAGCAGATATTTTTCGACGTGAAGAGATCACATCTTTAGATCTGATTTGAAAAGATCTTTCATATATGTAATTTTTAAGCAGTTTGTGAACATTCGCAGGTAGTAATGTGATAATTTTGTGTATTAGTCCATCGTGCCAGACTTTATCAAAAGCTTGAGAAATATCTATGAATAATGCAGAGCAATATTGCTTGCTCTCGAAGGCCTTTCGAATAAGAGTTGTTATTCGATGTACCTGTTCGATAGTGCTGTGCTTTCTTCTGAAACCAAACTGATGGCCAGGAATAATGCAATTATCGTTAAAGTGTACTAAAAGGCTTTCAAGCAATAACTTTTCAAAAAGTTTTGAGAATAAAGACAACAGGCTAATGGGACGGTATGATGTCACTTGAGTGACATCTTTCCCCGGTTTTGGTATCATAACAATCTCGGATACTTTCCATGAGTTAGGGAAGTATCCAATACGTAGCATCGAGTTAAAGATGAACAAAATAATTCTCAGTGCTGAATTGGGCAGGTTACTTATCATCGTGGTAGTAATTTTATCTATACCAGGTGATTTTCCTGCCTTTAGACCTTTGATTGTCATCTTCACGGTAGAGAACCGGAATTTTATTGGGTGTGGAACCACATTATTTATAATGTTAGCACTAATAGAAGAATCTGTATCATTTTGAGTAAACACATTTTCCAAGTGATTGGCGAATGCTTCAATTTTTTCTGACGTATTTCTTGCCCATTGACCATTCTGAAGGCGTATAGGTGACTCATATGCAATAGGGCACTGCATATTTTTAACAGCTTTCCAGAGACTATATTCTGTTTTCTTAGTAGGGTCTAAGTTTTTGAGATAATTTCTCAGATTAGATTCCTTATTATCCTTTAAAGCGATGCGAAGTCTTCTTTGGCACTGATTAAGTTTAACCTTTATGTTTGGAGATCGTGATTGTTGCCATTGACGTCTGAGTGTTCTCTTTTCTTTAATAAGAGACTCAATGTTCCTAGGACATTTCGATTTTTTGAAGTCTCCCAAGGTGACTGGGGGTGTAGACACTTTGACAGCATCTTGTAAGATATCCGTAAATATATCGACAGCGAATTGTATTTCATGGTCATTCTTCAATGAAATGTTTTGTGGCAGGTGTGAGCTAACATACATTTTATACTTTAACCAGTTCGTTTTCTTGTTAGGGAAACAAGAACAATAGTTTTCCAATTTATTTGGGGTTTCTAATAACGTTAAAATTGTAGGCGAGTGGTCTGACGAGAGGTCCAATGAAGGGATCACTGAAATAAATTCTCGTTTTATATTTTTGATTACAGCAAAGTCAATTAGAACTAGAACTGAACTAGAACTGAACTAGAACTGAACTAGAACTGAACTAGAACTGAACTAGAACTGAACTAGAACTGAACTAGAACTGAACTAGAACTGAACTAGAACTGAACTAGAACTGAACTAGAACTGAACTAGAACTGATCTTGATCTGAGTCACTCTTCTGAACTTAAATTTGTGTACCCCAAAAAAGGTATAAAAATAATAGAGCACATATTTTTTGTAATTTAAAAACACATCATTAACCCAGTAATAAATCGCAATTTGTTAAAAAATGTTTAACACAAAAACAACAACAGACTTTACAAAACCATTGGATGAAAAATAAAAAAAGCCTTATTGGTCTGGTACGCGCAGTAACTCATTGAATGAGCAAACCAACCTCTCTATCATCTTTAGGCCACATTACTGACATACAGGTCACGTAAACAAAAACAGCAGTAGCCAAAGCAGCAGCAACAACAATAGAAGAAGTGAAATGTTGAAAAATAAAACTGAAGCAAACCCAAATGACACTACTCCCAAAACACAAGTACCACCAGGACCGACTGACTCTCTATGCATTGTTATTGTAAAACAGGAAACGAACAACAGCAGTTCGCCGTTCCTTTAAAAGGAACGAGGGGGTGTACGAGGGCTTCATGTTTAACAAACGGTAAAACATGTTGGTTTTGTATCTTTTTTTCTCTACTCCTCACTCATGCAGAGAGGGAGGAAGAAAAGGGTGTTATCCTAAAAACAACAAAAGAACCTTTCCATGTTGAGGTTGTTGTTCAATGAAGTGGGCAAAACTGGGTAAAACTGAAAACTGGTCATACAGTAATGTTCGTCTGAAGAATGAGCAAAAAACTGAAACAATTAAAAGGGCACGTGATATGATCAATTTCAATGGAGCAAAAATAGGGGGGGGGGGGTGCAGTAGCATTACTATAGGAGAAAATATTTCAAGATTAGCAACAACAATAATAACAATAGCAGCCAGGCAGCAGCAATAGGCAAACAAACAAAAAATACAACAAAAAAAGTAGACCGCCAGCCCCAATAATTAAAGGAAATTAAAAAGGATGCTCATTAGCAAATTGGATGGGAAACAAATAACAATTGATACTACAATAATAAAACAACAGCAACTACCACAAATAACTAAAAATTTCAACAACATAAAACATAGAAAAACTTTTTCTGGTTAATACAGCTGATGGTTTGTTCTGGTTGTAGTTAGAGTCGGAGTCTGAGCATTTGAAATTAATTACAAATTGTTGCTAATTAACTGATTTTGTTCTTCTTCCTACGTTTTGTTTACTTTTTCTATTGATGTTCAATTATTTAGGCCCTGATATTTAATTGTTGTCTCAGCATTAATGCCCATTTAGGGCGACGACATTGGGAATCAATTCAAGACACAGCTGGGCTTTTAATGAGATTAAATGAAATGCTAAATTTATGCTGAACAAGTAAAATGTCGGAAATAATTGAAACATGTTTACTTAAATTGTTTGGGTAGTTCTTCTGAAGTGATAGATGAAGTGTTGGAATATTATTTATGGCAGCTTACTAACAATTTTTTAATCAAGAAGTTTTTGTGATATTTACGATTTTTTTAAGTAAACACTTTTTTAAAAAAAGTGGATATTTTGGTGCTTCTGCTTTCACCACTTATGATAAAAAACCATATATATTGAAAAAAGAAATTAACATAAACTTTGAAGGAAAACAGTTCTACTTCAGTTCTTGTTCGGTTCTAGTTCGGTTCTAATTCAGTTCTAGTTCAGTTCTAGTTCAGTTCTAGTTCAGTTCTAGTTCAGTTCTAGTTCAGTTCTAGTTCAGTTCTAGTTCAGTTCTAGTTCAGTTCTAGTTCAGTTCTAGTTCAGTTCTAGTTCAGTTCTAGTTCAGTTCTAGTTCAGTTCTAGTTCAGTTCTAGTTCAGTTCTAGTTCAGTTCTAGTTCAGTTCTAGTTCAGTTTCTAGTTCAGTTCTAGTTCAGTTCTAGTTCAGTTCTAGTTCAGTTCTAGTTCAGTTCTAGTTCAGTTCTAGTTCAGTTCTAGTTCAGTTCTAGTTCAGTTCTAGTTCAGTTCTAGTTCAGTTCTAGTTCAGTTCTAGTTCAGTTCTAGTTCAGTTCTAGTTCAGTTCTAGTTCAGTCTAGTTCAGTTCTAGTTCAGTTCTAGTTCAGTTCTAGTTCAGTTCTAGTTCAGTTCTAGTTCAGTTCTAGTTCAGTTCTAGTTCAGTTCTAGTTCAGTTCTAGTTCAGTTCTAGTTCAGTTCTAGTTCAGTTCTAGTTCAGTTCTAGTTCAGTTCTAGTTCAGTTCTAGTCAGTTCTAGTTCAGTTTCTAGTTCAGTTCTAGTTCAGTTCTAGTTCAGTCTAGTTCAGTTCTAGTTCAGTTCTAGTTCAGTTCTAGTTCAGTTCTAGTTCAGTTCTAGTTCAGTTCTAGTTCAGTTCTAGTTCAGTTCTAGTTCAGTTCTAGTTCAGTTCTAGTTCAGTTCTAGTTCAGTTCTAGTTCAGTCTAGTTCAGTTCTAGTTCAGTTCTAGTTCAGTTCTAGTTCAGTTCAGTTCTAGTTCAGTTCTAGTTCAGTTCTAGTTCAGTTCTATTCAGTTCTAGTTTCATTCTAGTTCAGTTCTAGTTCAATTGTTCTAGTTCAGTTCTAGTTCAGTTCTAGTTCAGTTTCTAGTTCAGTGTTCTAGTTCAGTTCTAGTTCGTTCTAGTTCAGTTCTAGTTCTAGTTCAGTTCTAGTTCAGTTCTAGTTCAGTTCTAGTTCAGTTCTAGTTCAGTTCTAGTCAGTTAGTTCAGTTCTAGTTCAGTCTAGTTCAGTTCTAGTTCAGTTCTAGTTCATTCTAGGTTCAGTTCTAGTTCAGTTTCTAGTTCAGTTCTAGTTTAGTCTAGACTTGTCTAAATTTAAAATAACTTAATCTTTAATACGCATATTTTTATATATTTTTTCTTTTTTTTTTATAGGACTGTGTAATTATGTCAAAAACTAAAATGTGTTGTTGATAATTGAAACATTTTAATATGTAAGTATTATATCTTAATATTTTTAGGTTAAAAGTCAGAAACAAAAGTAACTAAATAAACCCTTAAAAACAGCACAGTTACCTTACTACTTCATACCTTTACTTTATTTAACCAGATTTTGAAATTAAACTCCCTTCATCGCAAACTTCAATACTTTTTACTTTCATAAAATTCATTTCATAAAATTACATACATAATTTTTGTTCTCGTCTCTTTATCGAATTTTATCAAGTGTTGACGTCAAGTTTATGGAAAAGTTTCCATACTGTCGAGTGTCATCAAGATGATGATACCACTGTGTATAATTTCAGTTTTTGCCAGTTTATGCAAGCAGTTATTTAAAATATTTAAAAGATGCCATGATGACCCCAAAAATAAGGTGTTAAAACTGCAAGCAGTAAACGTAAAAGTATCATCGCCATTGTCATCATTATCATCATAATCATACGAATGGTTTCAGTTTGATTCAACAATAACTAACACATATACACTGCTTATACATTTTGTTCTGTTCTGAGTAGCACAACTATAATACTGACATTGTCAAAAGCTTTAATATTGTATTATTTAACAGTTGCCTGGTGAAAGAGACGCCATAAGATTGAAAAACTCAATATGTTATCAAGGAGTTAAAAGGAAACCACAAACTAAAAGTAACAAAGATTTGCAATTTATTTGCCAGCTCTTAAAATTTATAAATATTGCACTATAATACAAGTACTTTTTTGTTTGGTGTTTTTGATGAAAAGTACCCTCTACTGACTCCGAGTGACAATGCCTGTCATGTTTTTGTCAATGTTCATTAGTGTAACAAATAAAAAAAACCTTAAAATTCAACCAACCATACATGTTCGTTCATACAGACAACAAACCATTCATTCCTTCATCCAAATATTCAAACACACTGACGAACGGGCAAGTGGACAGCTAAACTCATACTAAATTCTATTGTTATTTTGGTTATTGTTGTTTTTATCATTGTTATCATATTAATATGTCTAAGTTGATGTAGCTGTATTAAGTCCCTATAACCCTACAATATTTAAAGTGACAATTAGCTGCGATTTCGCTATACTATACTACATAGTCTTCAAATTTGACAGTAGTATCATTATAGTCGCGACAATAGTCTACCTATTGACTGTCTATAATGTCGACTATAGTCTGTCTATAGTGTCGACTATAGTCTGTCTATAGTGTCGACTATAGTTTGTCTATAGTGTTGACTATAGTGTTGACTATAGTTTGTCTATAGTGTTGACTACATTCTTTTTATTTTTTACATTCTACATTCGACTATAGTCTGTCTATAGTGTCGATTATAGTCTATCTATAGTGTCGACTATAGTCTGTATATAGTGTCGACTATAGTCTGTATATAGTATCGACTATAGTCTGTCTATAGTGTCGACTATAGTCTGTTTATAGTGTCGACTATAGTTTGTCTATAGTGTTGACTATAGTTTGTTTATAGTGTTGACTATAGTCTGTCTATAGTGTCGACTATAGTTTGTCTATAGTGTTGACTATAGTTTGTCTATAGTGTTGACTACATTCTTTTTACAGTCAATAGTTTGTCAGTAATCGATGCTATAGGTTTTCTATAGTCGAAACTAGTGTCAGTCTACAGTTGAGAATTTAGTCGAGACTATAGTCTGTGTATAGGCTATGGTTTGCCTTTACGTTGGGACTACGGACAGCTTGCAGTTTAGACTATAGTCTGTCTGTCTATAGTCGAGAATGCAGTCTCTCTATAATTGAGTTGAGACTATAGTCTGCTTATAGTCGAGACTGTTTTATGTCGGTCTATTAACGAAACTAAAGTATATTAATAATCGTGATTATACTTTATCTATAGTCGAGTCTGCAGTCAGTGCAAGATCGATTCAGGCTTTTCTATTTTCTCGATATAACGCTAAAGTAAATAAAACCTTGAACTATCTTACTTGATTGTAGCATCGACTCTACTAATATTAGACCAAACAGAGACCAACTACCTGATTAATTGATGATATGATTGTCTACATAGTTCATTACAGGTTACAAGTGTTGCAGGGTATGTTTAGGAATTAACACACACATCTATATATGCTCACTTATAAACAAATACATAAATACTTATGTATGTATATTGAAAATTAAAACAAAAGCCGACTTACTGTAATTGAAAGACAAAATAAATTCTTTGAGAATAAGGGTGTGAGAAAGAGACATAGTCAATCTATAAATAACAGCAAGATGCAGTAAGGACAATAGTGGAGCAAATGCTGCCAAAGAAGAATTCCTTCTTTCGTTATTTAAAAAAATGTACTTTTCTCTTTGAAATCATTTTACAATTAACACAATTTGCATTTATCCCACTGTTCCATATGTTTAACATGTAACTAAACTATTGTATTTTTTGCACCCACACACTTAATACTAATGAAAATCAACTCAGAAAAAAATCTCTTCATTAAAGGATATCAACGACAAAAGAAAACGGATTGGCAACAATTTAAATAGAAATATGAACAAAAATTAAAACAAAAACAGTAAAATTACACACAAATGCTATAACAAATATATTTTCTCATAGCCGAAAAAATAAAGAGCAAATTTACTCAGTTTAGTTACTGTATAACTATTTTTTTTCTATGTCCTGCTGCCTTCACTTAACGAACGGCTTGATATAATAACTAAAGGAAATATTTTATTTTATTGTTGTTAGTTTTCTGTTATTAAAATATAATGAAAGAGACAGAGACCTAGAGGATGAAATAAAATAAAATAAATAACAATAGAAATAAAGGATTTAAAATATTGCAATATTAGTTCATTGTTTCAAAATCAACTACAAAAAAAGGAAAAAAAAAACGAACAAGAGCAAAACATTTTTGGCATACAATAGACATTAGTCTTAACAAGATACATACTTAGATACATATACAAACTTAAGTATATGTATTGAGATATTTATACACAGTTACATTTTGTAACTAACATTTAAATGTAGAGGAATATGAGAGAGAATTTTATTACGAGGGCGAAAAAAGTTGTTAAAAATTATTTCAACCAAATTCTATCGATACTATATAGTCGATACCATTGTTTATCTATAGCCGAGTCTATAGTCCATCTCTAGCCGAAACTATAGTCTGTCTATACAGTCGAAACTATAGTTGACTGGTATGTCTATTGTCAAAACTGTAGTCTGTTCATATTCGAGACTATAGTCTGGATATTGTTAAGACTATAGTCTGTCTATAGTTGTGGCTAGAGTAGCTACTACAGTCTGTGTATTGTCAAGACAATAGTCTGTCTATTGTCAAGAATATAGTCTGTCTATTATCAAGACTATAGGCTATCTATTGGCAAAACTAAAGTCTATCTATATTCGATACTATTGTCTGTATATTGTCGGGATTATAGTCTATCTATAGTTGTGGCTATAGTGGAGTATATAGTCTGTATATTATCTGGACTATAGTCTGTCAATGTCAAGAATATAGTCTGTCTATTGTCAAGAATATAGTCTGTCTATTGTCAAGACTATAGTCCGTCTATTGTCAAGACTATAGTCTGCCTATTGTTAATACTAAAGACTGTCTATAGTTGTGGCTATAGTCGAGACTGTAATCTGTCTCTAGTCTGTCTATTGTCAAGACTATAGTCTGTCTTTTGTCAAGACTATATTCTGTCTATTGTCAAGGCTATAGTCTATCTATAGTTGTGGCTATATTGAAGTCTATAGTCTGTCTATTGTCAAGACTATAGTCTGTTTATAGCTGTGGCTATAGTAGCGACTACAGTCTGTCGATTTTCAAGACTATAGTTTCTATATTATCAAGACTATGGTATGTCTATTGTCAAGAAAATAGTCTGTCTATTGTCAGGACTATAGTCTATAGTAGAGTATATAATCTGTCTATTTGTCTTTTGTCGAGACTTTAAGTTGTCTATTATCCATACTATAGTCTGTCTATAGTTGTGGCTATAGTATAGACTATAATCTGTCTATTGCCAAGACTATAGTCAGGGTATTGCTGAGACTATAGTTTGTCTCTTATCAAGACAATGGTCTGACTCTTGTTAAGACTTTAGCCTGTCTATTGCCGAGACTACAGTATGTCTATAGTTTGAACATGTCTGTTGTTGGTCTCACTTTAGTTGCAACCATAGTGTGTTATTATAATAGTCTGTCTATAGCCGAGGCTGTAGTCTGTCAGTAGTAGGGACTTAAATCTGTCTATAGTGTGGACAATATGCTGTCTATTATCGAGACTATAGCATTTAAATTATCGGGGCTAAAGTCTGTATATTGTAGAGGCTAATGTCTGTATATAGTTGGGATTATTACGGTTTGTCAGTAGTTAGGACTAGGTTCTGTCTGTAATCTGGCTATTTCAAAATATTAGGCTATCTTTCCACCTGCAGTCGATTTTACCAATAATTTTTGCTTTCGATCTCGTTTATTGTGTACTCCATATTAGGCGAGATCTATTGGTTTGTTACTTTAAGAGCAATTTTCTAACTTACCTCGTAAATGAGGGGGACAATTGAATTGAGTATTTACTTGAACGGGTACATAGTCACATGAGACAGCTGTATGGGCATATGTTTCTATCTTCATACATATGTACATATGTATGTATAAATAACGTCTGCCTGTGTGTTAGTGCATTTCCATGTGTTTGTTTTGTCTTTCTATACTGATATCATTGTCTAAATGGGTTGGTGTAGGATGTATATGGAATATATTGGTGATACTTGTGGTTGTCATGGTTGTTATTAAAATTATTTGTTAAATTCAATTGTTTTTATTGAGAGAAATTGTCAATAATTTCACAATAGTGGTTTCGTTTTGGTGATTATAATTACGAGTTTGTTTCCAAAACGTTGCAATTGAATTTGTAGAAATTGCAAAATGTTTTACAAAATCAAATATGTACTTATGTATGTAGGTATGTGTATGCAATTGCTTTTATTATTCTGTTATATTCTGCTATTTTTGAACAAA